GGATGGCCTGAATTTACGAGTTATTCAACTAATTTATACCTTTATTTACAAGTAAAGTTCTGAATAAACTTTTATTTAACAAAACCATGTTAAATAAATGTTTGCACTTTTACAATGATTTTTCTTTTTCAATGGAGGAAAGGATAACAAGATAGAGATTAAATTTTAATTCTGATTAATAAATAATACTGAAAGTGCACAAAAATAACTGTATCTTTTATTCAATTTATGAGAAAATAGTATATGTTACTATAAAAAAAATTTGTACTATCATTTAATCATAAATAAATTCTTATATATTAAACATAAATAATTATATTGTTCAAGAATGTTTTTGGGAATTATTCTTCAATGAGAGTGTTTTTATGAATTCTTATAACGTTTTATCTAATTCAATTTTTTTTTATTTGTGATATTTATTTTTGAATTAAATTTTAATATTTTAAAATATATTCTCCATAATTAAAAATAATATAAATTATTTATCATAAATCTAAAGTATAATTTATATGTTTAAAAATATTTATTTATATAATTTTTTAAATATTATTTATATATTCAAATATAATATTTATTTAATTTATTATAAAATTTAGTTATACATAATAAGCATTTTATCTGTAAAATGTACAAACTAAAATAATACGTTTGATAATTTTTACTCAATCATTTTAAAAGAATTCAATAATAAATTTCTTTTATAGATTAACATACAATATATTTTTTTTCACTGAATGTATAGAAATTAACACTTTTAATTTATTAATAAATTAATTTCAAAATGCATGCATTTCCATCCAACAATTTTTTTTAATTGTTTAGATTATTTTTGACTGAAAATAATTGATAAAATTCTAATAATACTAATAATAGTATTTAATAGTTCAAGTCAATTATCAAAATCAAAATTAAATGCTGACTTAAATTCTGTTGAGTTTAAAAAGATGAGTATCAACCGGCCAGTGTTACTGCTATATGACATAAGACATTGGTCATGATCTTGCTTTTAATTCATTGGCATCTATCTGTTGACATCAACTTTTCAAAAGGTTAAAAAAAAAAAAAGGAAGAAAATGGGAAGGAAGAACAAGAGGCTACAGATAAGTATCATCCGAACAAAAAGCATATGCGTGTTATCCATCTTGATCTGCCTTTGCCTTTGCCTTTGATTTCAAAAATTTCAATCATTTCGTAATTCTAAGCAGATTTCATCGCCAAATTAAATGTCCCTACACATAATCTCAAAAGGAAGTGATCCAAGTTTGAGCTGGATTTTTCATCCTAATCAAGGGCTGCAGCATTTCAGACAATTATATTAAATTAGCAGTCACTTGCACATTATTATATCTTAATAATAATATTCAATTATAAACCACTGTTATCGCGATGGATGCATACCTGCATATAGCTATTGGCGAAATAAAAATAGATCAAATTCATGAATTTGCTAAAATAAGTGTCATCTCCCTGGCTTAAATTCAAAAGAAGAAATCAATAATTAATCCTGCAGAAAGAAAGGGAGAAGAGGGAAACCACTGAGATCAAAGTTTCATTAACTAAGGAGACATTCAAGTTATCTCATACTACTTCTAAGCATGTTTGAAATTAACATAATATTCACAAAATCTTAAGTTTAAATCTTGTCCTCGTGATAATTCTATGTTATTCTAATTCTATAGATTAAGAAAACGCGCGTTATTTTAACAATTAAACTTGTGAGATAATGTTACAGTTTATATATAGATGAATCAATGACTATAAACAATTAATCTGAAATAGTAACATGTTTTAATAATATCTTAGGACTCCATCATGCATACCCTTTCGGGTTATGGCCAAGCCAAAGTACTTTGCTCCATTCTTTTTCCCCGTTTGAGCTTTTGAGCAACTTATCTTATCCCAATCTCATTATTGACAATCGACTTGTGGCGGAAATTCTACATTGAGTAGTAATTAGATGAGCTCAAAGTGATGCCAGTGGACCACATTGTTGTGCAATTGGCAAATTTCTAATGGTCAGAGATGTAATGCAACTACAAATTCATCTACCAATTTTGGCCTTTTCATTTTTCTGTCAGAATCTCATTCTTCAATATTTTTCCCTCACGCACCCATATCAACAAGATTAAAATTTGCTGTCAGATTATGTATACATAGGAGATTGTGCAATATTCTCCTCACACTTATCCATTTGTCTTAACATTCTAATATAATATAATTGGCCGTGTGACATAAGTTAAATTTTTTGTGGAACTAACACGGCATGAACAGCATAAAGATATAATAAATGTGTACTTGTATTGTAAGCAAAGGTTGCTTTTAGCGTTTGGGCTCCATGTGAAGGTATAGTGAGGGACTAGGGTTTGATACTGATAGAGAGCCAAAATGGTGTTTTTTGTGAATCCATAAGATGGTTAAGGTATGTTATAGACAACTCTAGAGACACTGGACCCTTAACCCAAACAATATGAGTATGTGATAGGTGGGTCTCTCTCTCCTCTCACAATCCAAACATAGAGACCACCCCAACATGTGAAGATTGTCACAAAGTGTTGTCCATATTAAGTTACCCCAACCCAACCTTCACTCAACAATAGAAACCAGACATGGGCCACTAGGTCACACAACTATGACAAAACATCCTACCAAGAAACTTTTATGCCACACGTGAGCTCTGTCAGGTGCATGCACTGTTAGTGTTTCATCACTTAATCAACTGTCCTCATACACTATTCAACAACTGTTTTTTCTTCTTTTCCGGATAGATTAATTAATAAGGTAAAATAACACTGTACTTATTTATTTATTATTATTATTTTTTTTATATAGTGAAACCATTAAAGAAGCAATTTCACGTCGACTATAAAACCACGTGAAGAAGTAATACACATCGGTTACCAAGTAGAGGAATTGCTAGGGTTGGAGTTGGGTAGATATATGAACACGTGAGGTTGATTTTCATTATCGTCATTGTAATTTTCTTGTTTTTATATATAGGGAGAGAAAAAGAGAGATTGATTTCTTTTAAAAAGTAAATTTTTGTAAATTTATTACGTTTAATAATTTATGTTTTATATAAAATTTTAATAATTTAATTATTAAATTAATAATTTTTAATATATAGATCAAGTTTGTAAGATTTTAAAAATTTTAAAATTTATTTAAAATTTTGTTATATAAATTTAAATCAACATACAAAATATTTTTATAATTATTTATTAATTTAAATTAATAAAATAAAGTATCACATCATTTTTAAATTTTTAGAAAATTTGTACGAATGATACGTTAAAAAACTTTAATTCAATGATTATATTATTAAAATTTGATGTAAAATATGAATTATTGAGAGAAATAAGCCTATATAGACATAAGTAGATCCTCTCCTATTTCTTTCTCTTTCTCTATATATATATATATAAGTTATCAAATAATTTCCTTGTTGATAACTTTTCTAGGCATTCATTGGCACATCGACGGTTAGAATGACGAATTGAATTCTCTTCGAAATCAATTTCTTGTGAGAAGGATATCTCTTTCTGCCCCCATGTTTCTGGAAAAGATATGGCAAAAGAAGAATTTCTTAAAAGGATTACGGTTTACACATTCAAATTTCAAGGTGGCTTGTAATTAATTTGGAAATTTTGATTAGGTCCTATTACCAACCTCTCTGTATATATACTTTGGTACAGTATCTTTTCTCCAAACGAACCCGGCCATGCATTGCCGAAGCTGTAGTCTCTGTCTGGATTATTCGAAATGATTTGAACTACGTTTTGTACATTGTTATAAAAATAAACCAATTAAAAATTCAAACAAGTTTTTTTTATGCTAGAAAAGGAATCAAGTCATAGCTTAGTTACTTCAACCGATTGAATTTGATATTGAACTAACTAAACTACAGTTGAAAGAATTGGATACTTTTTTTTTTGTTGGTATAATTGAATTGAATAATGTTGACATTAAAATTATAATTACTAGTTTGTTTTAACTGGTCGGTTTAATTTAATTTTTGAAACATTGATTTAGTTATATTTTGACTGGATTGAGTGTGGTGTTAAAATTCCACAAGGAATATATTTCTGGTCCGCACTCCAAAAGGAAGCTGTATAAGTGGCCATCATCTTACGAGCCCAATAAAGTGGTAGCACTAAATCAAACGAATGTCTGGGCCCATAATTCCAATATGGTTTTTTTTTAAGATTAGCGATTTGAGAAATGGATACTTCCAATATCGGCTTTTATATGGTTCATGATATATACACCTCATTTTTTCTATAAGTACACTTTTTTTTAAAAAAATAATTAGATTTTTAAAATTTTTTAATTTTTTTAATTTTTTTAATTTTACACTCACAACATTTTATAATTTTTACACATCTTTTCCTTTTTTTTTTTTTTCTTTTTTTTTTCTTCAATTTTTACATGTACTCCCTTACCTTTCCTTCACCCCATCTATTTTAGTAGCATGTGAATATTGAAAGAGAAAAAAAGTGTGTGAATAAAAAAGAAAGTAGCAAATTAAAAGTTAAAGGTGTAAAATTAAAAAAATAAAATAAAAATGACAATATTTTATAGTTTTTTAAAAAATAAAGGAGGTGCACTTATAAAAAGGCTCATGATATATACACCTCCTTTATTTTTTTTAAAATTATAAAATATTGTAGTTTTTTTTTAATTTTCTAATTTTACACCTTCAATTTTCAATTTGCTACTTTCTTCTTCTTTTTCACACACTTTTTTTTTTTCTCTTTTAATTTTCATATGCTACCAAAATAGGTGAGGTGAAGGAAAGGTAAGGGGGTACATGTAAAAATTGAAGAAAAAAAAATGAAGATGTGTGAAAAAAAAGTACTAAATTAAATATTGTAGATGTAAAATTAAAAAATTAAAAATATTTTAAATTTTTAAATTTTTTTTTCGTACTTATAAAAGAAAGGAAGTGTATATATCATGAAGCCTTTTATATTTATAATTTGGGCTTTATTTATTATTTGAGAATGATATTATTATAATAAGCTGTTTTAGTTCAATCAATTTTAGGACAAATTTGCCCATCTCAGGCCCCAATGTTGATTATATAAAAAGTATTTTCAATAGAGATCTCAAAAGCACTTTTAAGCTCATATCCAAATAGCTCTTTTGACTAGTTCTTTCTTGGGTCTTCCCATTTACTCAAATGCAACCTTGCTCTTTCAGCCTGCAGTTGTTAACCAAAAACATGTATGAAAATACTTGTCAATAATATGCACTTGCAAAGATATTAACAAAAGAGTAAAATTTGTTTTTATGTACCTCTCTGTCCCAGTCACATCGTGCGGTAATCCAAGCAAGAATCAAAGTCTGAATTGCAGGCCCACCAAAAATTAGCCCAGCCCAAACTCCCTGATGAGATGGTTCGTTCACATAACCGATTAATAATGTTAATACTATAGTTTATCTTAAAGCAAATCAAATCCAAATGCATAACTAATCATGTAATGATGAATATTTCTTTTGAGTAGCATTGAAAGAGACAACATACCTGAACTCCTAAATCAAAGACGAAACCCAACAAATATCCAAGTGGCAATCCAATAAGATAATAGCTACCCAAGTTTATGAATGCCACATATTGCTGCCACCCAGATCCCACAGCCACCCCTGTTCAAACATCATAGCATAATAAAAGTATTTTAGTGATTGGTAAATTTCATTATAGCAAAAGCTAAATGGTATAGATTTGGAATTTATATTTACTAGAAAAATAATGAAATAACAAACTAAACCAATTAAATGCTTAGCAAATTAACTCATGGAATGTAAGTGAATTAGTGATTTTGGAGCAATTAATATTGATCATGAGAAGGTTAAAGTGCTGGAGATAGCAATTAATGTTTAGTCTCTGGTAAAATATTGAGACATTTTTTGGTGAAAGATAAAAAGATGAAAGGTCGAGACATTGTGATCTACTTGTTAGATTTCCAATAAATTAAAGATGAGCCAAAAAATATATAGAACCTAAAATGAAGGGTCAAACGTTCAAACAACTAAGCTAACCAAAATCAATAAAGTCAAAGATTTTTAAAAAAATAGTCTGTTGAGAAAAAATGCTTTTAACAGAATTATTTCAGGCATACTACTTTCATTTTAAAATAAATAATATTTAGGTTTTTTCACAAGGATTAGAAAAAGTAATAATAGACTTAATAAGTGAAATAACTTTATTAAATTCGACCAAATGATGAAATTGGAGTACTTTTAGAAACCAAATACTAAGAGTTATTCAGAAACATATTATAGACAGCAGTCAGTAACAAAAAATACAAAATGGTTTGATTTGTCATTCATTATTAAATCAAATAATTGACCAATGTGTGGTAAAATTCAGATAGTATCACCTGATAAGACTGGTTGAACACTGTTAAGTAGAATTGTGACGCCTAAGAAGGGTGAAAGTTTATTTACTTCTTTAATCACAACTTCACTCGAAGAAAATATATAGGCAAGTTGATCACGAAATATCATAATCAACAACCAAAAGAAAATACTCAATATAATTGATGTCACCACCGATACTATGGCAGCAAACTTAGCTCCTTTTCCATTACCAGCTCCAAGTTCATTTGCAACTCTTACTCTACAATGCCAACCATCACACAAGGTCAACATATGTGATTTTATGTAATGCTCAAAACTTTGCAAAGTTATTGTAGTAGAATCTTCGTTGTGAATATATCATGTTACTACATATTAATTAGTCATTGTAAAATGTGTAATAAGCTTATTGATGTTAGTTAATCACTAAGCATTTATGCAAAGGCATTTCTTGCATTTTTTTTTCTTCATATACATGCAAAAATATAATTATAAAGGGAAAGCCATGATGCATTACCCAGTTGCAGCAAAGAATGACAGAGGAAACATCAATTCCCATATATTTATGGTCAAGCTGCAATAAAAAAAACAAAAGTAACTAAGTAACAAACAATAGTTGTTCACAAATAAGAGAATAATAGTAACATTTGAGTGCTACTTATTTTAAGAAGAAAAAAAAAAACTTTATGATGTATGAAACATGAATTAAAACTTAAAAAGGACAATATCTACTCTAACACACTTACCAAATGGTTAAAGCCTCAATAGAAGTCTTTGCATTTTGTAAATTCCCGGTCATCAACATGAGTGCTTTATCATACCATACTTCTAAGCTGGAAAAAAAACAATCCAGCATAATGCAGTACAATTAGAAAAGTATACAATCAATTATATAAAGTTGCATAGGTGAAAAATTAACTCTATTTTGAGAAGAAATGAAACTATACTACAAGAAGAAGAAAAATACCATGTCATAATCCCAGAAGATGTAGAAAGTTTAGCAAACTCCCAGAGACCAGAGAATGCTTCCATGGAGAAACCAGTCCATGTTAAGGTACAACCACCGTAAATAACATAACCAAAATAACCTAACACCAAAACCAACCAAGCAAAGTTTCCAAATGCAACAAGGGCAATCACTCCAACATGAAACTTGGTCACAACCAACCAACAAAGGAATGCATGCAGCAATAAACCCAAGAGTGACACCAAGGCAATGACATTATTTTTGAGTTGGCTTTGCAAGAAAAAGTGTAAAGGTAAATAAATTATATAAGCCAAGTGAGTTGGTATCAGCCACAAAGAAATCACCCCAGTTAGCTCGGCTATCTCTGGAGATTGTCCAATGAACTTCAAGATAGGTGTCACAAAGAGGAATAAAGGCAAAATCACAACCCCAGTGATGAAAAGAACCAACCATGAACGTTGCAAGTAAATGCCTAACATGGAGTACTTCTTGGCGCCAAAAGCTTGTCCACATAGAGTGTCTAAAGCGCTTGACATTCCCAACTTAATTATGAAACCAAAACCATACACAATACATTAGTAAATTAAAATAAAAATGTCTTTTTATATTCACTCAATGTTGAAATAAAAAGAAAGATTTGGAGTTTACCAAAATGCCAAAGTCAAGCCCCAAAATAACATTAATGGCAATGGAGGTAGCAGCTAACTCAAGGTCACCTAGGTGGCCAGCAAATGCTTGAGTGATAACAAACATAGAAAAATTGGCAACACGATTGAAAATTGCAGGGCCACATATGATCCAAAGCTTCTTAGATTCAATCCAAACCCTTCTCACTAAATGCTCTCTTTCTTGTCCATTTATATGATCTTCCAACAATGGATGATTTGCTTCGTCTGATGCTAAAGCCTTGTCACTTGACATTTTCGACATGTCTAAGTGATGAACTTATTGAGATTAAGATAGAAAAAGAAAAGAAATGTTGTCAATATAACATCATTAATTATCAATATATAGTATTTATTTCAAAGTTTTAATTTTGACATTTTCATTCAATAATGAATTTTGTCATTTAAAGGATGTTAAGTCAAGCATTTTAAATTAAATAATATCACAATGCACGGTAATGGATAGTTATCGAAATTAAATATAAACAATAACATATAAGTTTATATATGTTAGCTAGGACTAGTTTTTTTTTGGACATAGACCTTGTTTATTATAAATTTAAAAAACAGAGTATAAGACAATTTATTTAATATATAAAAGAAGCTATTGTTACTAGTTTATGCAAACACATGGGTTAATATCATTATGCTCTAATTTTAACTTTATCATTGTCCTCATATAATTATTGCACAAACCTTATACAATGTTGTTTGTTCATGTATAAACACTTTTTTTTTATTATCATCAAGTATAAACAAAAATGTCGCATAGTAATAAAGTATTAGGAACCATTTAGCAGTCACAAAATAATACATTAGGTTTGTATTTATGGGTCGACAAATCAACATGAAAGCAAAACGATAAAGTTGACAAAGTAATATCAACCCAACTTACATATGAATAAACTAAATTTAACTCATAATTTTTAAGAGGGTAGACACCAACTAAAATCGAAACTTCAAATCTTTGAAAATGAAACATTAACAAATTATACAGACCACTTGATTTTTTAAAATGGGTGTATCATCATAAATAATGATATGTAAATAGTTAAAATAGTTTAATTAATTTTAATCTTAGCTCTCTTTTTTTCCTTGTACTATTCTATCATATTTTGTAGTATTCTCTTATTTGTTTTTTCTCTCTACTATTAGGGGGGCGGGGGATACGTATACGAATTAAGGTTTGCAGACCATCCTATTAAGCCTGCGAACCGTATAGATATGGATTCATTTTTTTTTTTAAATCTATAAGATCATGGCCAATTTTTAGCTCAATTCGAGAACCTTGTAGATTTCACAGGTTTAATTTACAAAACTCACATGTTAGCATGTTTCACACTACAATTTCACAATGTTTCATATATGTTTGTGTTTCAACTGTAAGTCAAAGTTCTGATTATAAATCTATTGGCATTGTTTTGTAGATTTTACAGGTTTAATTTGCAAAACTTGCGAGTTAGCATGTTTCACACTATAACTTGACAATGTTTCATATATGTTAACATTTGTGTTTTTACTATTAGTTTGTTAACATTGTTAAAGCCATTGTATTTAAGGTATTGTTCGCTTTGACACTAGTTGAATTATCACAATTTTGTCCTTAAAAATGTGGCTTAATGAGTTAAGGGAGAAAGATGTTTATAAATTATTATTGGCTTTGATTCCTAAGCAATGTGAGACCTTTTAAGTATATTAGAATATTAATTGGTGCTAAAAGAAGAGCCTAAACCACTCTTGTCTTTTAGCTTCGACTGAAGACTTGTTTCTATATACCTAAAAGTCTCATATTGTTTAATAATCTAAGTTAAAGATAGTTTGCAAACACTCACCTTCCTTAACCCACTAAGACATCTTGTCAAGGACAAAATAATAATGATCCAACAAGTATTAAAACAAAACAAACAATATCTCAGACACAATAATTCTAACGATGTTAATAGACTTAAAGTCAGAACACTAACATTTTAAGGACCTAATGAGTGTTAAAATGGATAATATTTCAAAATTGATAACTCTAACGATATTAATGGACTTATGGTCAAAATAGTTTGTTTTTAATACATTAAGATATTGATATTTGTTTGGTGTATTTAGACTTTAAAAATTTTAAGATATTAAGATTTAAGACTTTAATCTTTGGTTGATCTATTTGAACTTTTAAATTTTTAAACCATTTAAGATTTTGATGTTTTTGTTAGAATATGCAAACATTAATATATTAAAACTTTTATTTTTATCTTTAAAATATTAATTTTATGTTGTTACAAATATATTTATAATTATTTTCTTTCTCATGTTTCCATGGTTTAAAAAAGGAAAGAAAAAGAAGAACAAAAAAGTTCTTGAATTAAGCAACCATGATCCATCTGTATTTTACAAATTGGACATATATATTTGATCCATTAAGGTTTTGCATGTCGAAATTTAAGGAAGAATCCATCTGTATATCCATCCTGTCTACTACACACATAGACTAACTAGGAGAGAATTATAATTTAAACAATCACTTAATAAATCACAAGCATACGAAGCAAAATTCTTGTTGATAATTTCAAGTAAGAAATTGTTCGGCTGAAATTTGAGTTTACAAATTCACCAATCCTAGGAATAACTCACCTACTCTTGGAAAACTAGCGGCATATAAATAAATAATAGTAGGGTAATAAAACATCAAGAAGTAATGGAAGAATACTTTACCTGCAACTTTATGGTGTTTTCCTGTAGTATATGTTGTCCAATTCGAATGCAAATTTTAACACATTTCTTTTAAAACTCACAAACTACAAAGGCATAAACCTTTTGTTCATCTCCTTTGCCAAATAACTCTCGCTAATTGTTGAATTTAAAGGCTACTCATTTACTTTTGTCAAACTTTGGTCAAGTTATTTAGATTCAGATTGCATCTGAACCTTATTAGTTACACTTTGGTATATTTAAAAATACACCTTATTAACAATTTCTATAATTGTTAATAGTTGTTTTAGGCAATACCACAAATTAAGAAAACGATTAATATATTTATTTATATTAAAAATACATTTTGAAATTTCTAATATCTATTTTGATTTTGAAAAAAACCTTTTGAAATTGTCATACAAAAAGTGGAAAATTTTCATTTTATTCATGTATTTACTTTCTTCTTTCTTATTTCAGTAATATATATATATATATATATAATTCATATACGTCATATATTTTTAGAAACCTTTTCAACTTCTTTCTTCATTATATTCAAAAAAAATATATATATATATATATAAACTGTTTAACTTCTTTCTTTTATATTGACGCAAACAATATACAGTGTTTGTCTATTTGTTTATATCTCTTTTCTATTATTTTTTTTATTTTATTATTCAATCAAACAATGAAAGTATACTAGATATATATATATATATATAATAGTTAAAATTTATATCAATAGATATTTTTAAACGTATTAACTATATTCTAAATTTTTCATAAATAATTTATCTTGTAGCACAATATTATTCTATATATTTAAATTTAATTCATAAATAATTAAGATAAATAAAAATTGAATTAGATAAGAAGTTAAACAAATTTTTAAAAATCCCTTATTGAAAAAAAAATCTAAAAATACTCTTACATAAGATAAAGATTCATATTTTGGGATTGATATTTAATGTCTGTTAAAAAATTTGACTAATTCTAATGCAGTCTTCTCCAATTATTATTTTTTATTTTGATCCTTATTCTTTGATAGTTCTCTGTAATATATGATCCAAGTTAAATTAGTTGTCATAATGTGTTGACTATATTTATTTAGATTTTATAATGTGTTGACTACATTTATTTTGATCTAATAATATGTTGACTATATATTCTTATTTGTTGGACTAAATTAAATAGTCAACATACCGCATTAATTTAAAATTATAATGATTAAAAGTAAAAATATTTTATTTTTAAGAAATAAGATGAAAAAAAAAATTGTTTGGACAGCTTTTTAAAAAGATTACATAGGAAAATAATGTTATATAAGTCTAAATTTACTATTACGTTGACAGATAATTGCTACATCAAGTAATATTTGGCATTTTCATACAAATTGAATTCAAGTATGAAATGAATGTTTTAAAATCGTTAATATGAAAAAAGAAAAAAAAAATTTCAGTGTAATAGTGTCGATTAATTAGTGATGGTGGAGTTGAAGTATTATACATATAATCCTAGATTTTAATATATTGTATGTTGAATGCCAATTCTCTGTGTGCAACATAATGCTTCCATCATCTCTTTTTTAAGAACCCTAAGAATTGAATAATTTACTCAATAGGGGATTCTAATTGAGACAGTGTGAAAAAGATTGTTGTGCGATAAAGAGTATGAGAGATAAGATGATGAACTCTATTCTTACCAAACAAAGATTTTTATCGGATTAACTTCGCGAGATACTGCTGTGAAAAGGGAGTGAGTCGAGCGGACGAAGATTTTCTTTTCAAAAGAAAGACCACAACTTGGTTGATGGTTTTGTTTCTTTTTTTTTTTTTTTGGTAAGTCTAGAATGAGAAAAAGAGAGTGAGATGAGACAAGAAATAAGACTAAAAATGAGTGTGGTAAAATAATTAAAAAAATGGATTGATATGTGTTGTTGATTAAAACAAAAATTGCTAGCGTTTTGTTTTCCGAGCAGTAGTTGTTTTTTTACTGGAACGTTATTTATTAGCCATCAATAATTTTGATTATACAAGAAAATACATGCTGTTTAAAAAATTGTGGTATTTAAAAAAGTGTGGAAGAGAATTTCACTGATCCAAATGGAAATATAGTATATTATTGTTGATGATTGTTTTTATCTATTATCGGAACATCCCAATTAATTAGTTGTGTTATGTCTTGCTTTATGCCTCTCTCTCTCTAAGGGTTTTATCTCAATTCCTTTGTATCCTATTATCCCATTCCCAAAGACGATTTTCTCACTACATAAGTTAAGTCATCCCTTCAAGATTTCCAAGATGTGAAGTATATATAGTCATTTATTACGAGTAAACTACTAGATTCTCTTGAGATTACTATAGACTAACAATAATCATGGCTCAACCATCTACTCAAAAGGCCATGACACGATTATGCACTAGTCGGTGAAAGACTAATATGTGATGATATTTGTGAAAATGATATATTTTATCAAGAAAAGTTTATATATTGTCTATTATTTTTACAGACAACTCTACATTAGTTTAAAATTTATTTACTTTAAATTTACACTCTCATAATTTGATTTTTTATTATCATCTAAATGGTAAATATGTGTATTATAAATTATTTTGTCTTCCTTATTTTAACAATACAAAATTTTGTTTATATCGTGACATGATCGACTCAACCAAGTTGCTCCATTTTATATGTTCAGTTAATTTCTTAGAATAGTACATAGCCCATTCATCCTCAAAACTGAAAGTCAAAAAAAAGGATGGAACAAAGTTATTTTAACAAGCCTAAGTCGGTGAACAAAACAAACTACAACAATAATATTAATACTCGACTGCAATCCAGTGAAGCATTTTTTTTCTCTTTACTCGGTATGATTACAATAAATTAAAAATAAATAAATAAAATCAGACAATACTGCATTCAACAACCTACAGAGTGCTCAACAGAAGTTAACTAATCATCTCAGAATGCTTCAAGCTGTCAAATTAACTATAGACTCCAAGCATATAAACTCAAATAAAAAACTTTGCTAACCAACACATAACCAATTAGGAAACCACCAATTAGAAAAGTACTTTTTTCCACACAATCAAGCATTTTCTTTCATGCGTGGCTTTAAAAACATGATTAGATTTCTTGGTGTAGAATCAAGAGAATTCATAAAATGCTGGTGGAGAGTTCTAAAAATGACATATATCTTTATTTCAGTCAATACCGACGAAAGCCTGAAACAAATATGCGGATTCCTTAGGCTACAAAGAGAGTAGCCCTTAGTTTAGTTCTTGTTTTGGTTCTGCCCACTTCGATAAATGCAATTTTGCTTTTTCAGCCTTCAATTGTTAACCAACAAAATAGATCGATAAGATTAGATTATTCAGAGTCAGAACCATTACCAAAAGTGGGAAAAAAAAAACTGGCAAGTTACCTCTCTGTCCCAGTCGCAACGAATAGTAATGAGGCTCAATACTAATGTCTGAGTTGCTGTCCCACCAAAAATCATCCCCGCCCAGATTCCCTAATTTTTGTTCATTTTCATTAGCAATTAGTGTTACAATCATGTCTTAATGCATTTGAATTTCACATTCTAGGCAAATAACTGCGCACATTTTTAGAAACAAGACTTTCAAAAGAGGGTAACAAAAACATACCATAACTCCTTGATTGAAGACCCAACCCATCAAAAATCCAAGAGGCACCCCGATAATATAGTAGCAACCCAAATTTATGTATGCAACATAAGATTGCCACCCTGATCCCACGGCCACCCCTGTTCAAATCATCCAATATTTGAAGAGAAATATTATCATAATTCATAAACTATCTTAACATACCCTTTTCAACATATTTTATGAATCTTATTTTAGTCAATGAGTCTCATTATTTTATACAAGAAAGAATGAAAATGTTGGTCCTCATATTTAAATAAGAAATAAAAAATGAAAGCTACTAAAGGGTAAGGTGATACCTGAGAGAACTGGCTGAACACTGTTGAGGAGAATTGTGAAGGCTAATAGAAGAGAAAGGTTGTTTACTTCATCAAGGACGGCTTTGCTATTAGAGAATATGTAGCCGAATTTGTCGTGCAATATCATAATCAACATCCAGAAGAAGAGTCCTATAATAACCGATGTCACCACAGATACAGTAGTAGCAAACTTGGCTCCTTTTCCGTTCCCAGCTCCAAGCTCGTTTGCAACCCTCACTCTGCAAATTGCGTGTTAACTTTGGGTTTGTACTTTAATTTTTTAACCCCTTCAAACATCATAAATTAAAAAAAAAAAAAAAAAAAAAAGCTTTTAAGTTAATTTTATTTTTATATTATATTATTCATTATATTTCTCTCCTTTTTCACATTTCTCTTTCTTTTAAGAGATACTATTAAGTAATATCAGTCATATGATTTTTAATCAATCTTTATATAACGTGTAATTAAGTATTTCTATTTTTATGAATTAAAAAATCTAAATATATATTATATAAAAATTGATTAAACCATAAATACTTAATAATTTTAGACTATTTGATAATTTCTTCTTTGGAAAGACATCCTTACTGCTCCATCCATGTATCAGTTTACAAGGTTGAAAACAAGCGCGCACTGTTGTTAAATAGTTAATTATTGGTTTTTATTTTTAAACAAAGTTAAATTTAAGATCATTACAAATTATCCAAAATCCTCATCATGGTACTGATGCCAGTATGTTTAGTTAATTATTGGTTGTTCAATTACGAAAAGGAGGAAAGCATGCAATGTTCTTGAATTGTTCTTTTTTTACTTGGGTCTAGGTCAACTACCTGGCCCCACTCTCTAGTACGTTGGAGAAAATGAGTGAGAATTAAATTATTGGCAAAAATTGCATTTGCGAAAGCAAGGGTGTGGCTAACAATTGTAGGACACTTCCCAAGTGATGACTGTAGAATCATCGAGCATATATGTGTAACTGGAGCAACTGCACCAACATTGGAGATTAGTGTTGCATAATGGTACGCAATGTGATACAGGTTCCTTGCAAAATTTTAAATATCTGACATAGTCCAGGCGGAGATAGCGACATCTCTGTATACCGTGTTTTGACTGAGACTTTTCCAATTACTACAATGAAGACACTTCCATGTCCATAGATCACCACCATCCGTTAGATCCTCTTTCAAGCTCCACGACAAACAGAAACAGTAACTTCACCCATGAATAATGATGCACTGATCTTTTGGCTTGACTATGTACGAATGTTTTCTATCCCTACCACACATATTGAAAGATGATTGTGGAGAAAAACGACCATGTCGTGTCTAATTGCACCACTTCACAATGTACAAAAGTTTCAATCACCACCGCAATTTAATTAATAAAAAGGTTATATATTTTGATAGAAAATCAATGTTGTGTCGTGTTACTCGATCCTATGAATTATGTGCCAGCACGCGGTTTGATCTAATCATGTTTAGAGTCCAGTCATATGTTCGATGGGGTTTCTCTAGAGTTCATGAATTAATCTCGTTCTCCTCTCACCGTACATTTTATCAATAATATTTATATTAAATTAATCTCTAGAGTTCATATGTGGCGTGGCCTCCGTTTTTGACTTGCCCAAAAAACTATAGAGAGAGTAAAATAAAATAAAATAAAAGAGATACAGAAAAGGAGGAAAAAAATGAAAAAATAATATACCAAGTTAAAAATAGACATATTACCCTGTTGCAGCAAAGAATGCAAAAGGAATCATCAGTTCCCAACTATTGATAGTCATACTGCCAAACAAAACACAACATCAATCGGTCACCCCAAAAAAGTATTTAAAATAGGCAAACTATATATGCAAAAAAAAAAAAAAATATATATATATATATATATATAGCTAGGTAATTAAATTAAATTTGTATACAAGGAAGCAAAAACTAAAAGGTGCAGCCAGTGAATAGATAATTAAATTTATCTACGGTTAAGCTCCATTATTCTCCGGTTAAACAAATGACATATTATGCAGTATTTTCGAAAACCTAAATAGAATAAACGAACGTGAGGCTTACGTAAAGTGGAGATCCAGTCATAAAATAAAAATTTACCATACGGACAAAGCATCCACAGCAATCTCTGCGTTGTTAAGATTCCCCGTCATCAATATCAGAATTTTGTAATACCAGTTCTCCAAACTGTAAAAGAAAGCAAGCAGCGAAACATGAGAATGAGATATTAACAGTTTCAAGTTTCAAGAATGTAACGTAAAGAGAGTACCAGAGCATGACGCCAGCAGCAGCAGAGAGCTTAACAAACTCCCAAAGACCAGAGAAAGCTTCAAGGGAGAAGCCAGTCCAAGTGTGAGGACAACCACTACCCCACACAACGTAGCCCAGAAGGCCCAACGTGAGGACCCACCAAGAGAAGTTAATAGTAGCAGCGGCACCAACCACTCCAAACTGAAGCTTAAACACGAACAACCAACAAACAAAGACATGCACCAAGAGCGCCACCAGAGAGACCCACGCAATAGGTGCAGTCTTCATCTGGCACTGCAGGAACCTCTGCAGAGGGAACTGAAACGCGAAGGCGAAGTGCACCGGAAGCATCCAAATCGTCACCGCACCGGATAGCTCTGCCAGCTCATCAGTCTGGCCCAACAGCTTCAACACCGGCGAAGCAAACAGATACAAAGGCAGAAGCAAGATACAGCAAATGAAAAGAACGATCCACGAACGCTGCATGTACACGCCTAGCATGTAGTACTTCTTCGCTCCATACGCTTGCCCACATAGCGTTTCTAACGCACTTGCCATACCCAACTAAACCAAAACACACAAAACAAATCATAACTTAAACATGTTTACAAAGCTCAAAATAAATAAATAATTTTTCTTAATATATAGATAAGTTTTATTATATATACCAAGAGGCCAAAGTCGAAGCCGACGACGACGTTATTGGCAATGGAGATGGCGGCGAGTTCGAGGTCACCAAGGTGACCGGCGAAGGCTTGGGTGATGACCAACATGGAATAGGATGCAATACGGCTGAAAATGGAGGGGCCAACTATGTGCCAAAGCTTCTTTGACTCGATCCATACCCTTTGTCTCAAAGTTTGGTCATGTTGATCTATTTCATCTGTTAAAAGGTGAGATTCCAGTAATGGAAGCTTTGCTTCTCCTAACGGTGAAACCTCCTTGCTTGGCATGTCTCAGTGGCTGGCTATGTGTGGTGCTGCTAAGGCTAGAGATTCTGAAAGTGAAGTAAGAGAGGCAAGTGACCTTATAACAGAGTTGCCTTCGTCGACTCATTTCTGTGAACTACGGAGTGCTTAAATTTTATCATAAAATATACATCATGTGATGTGACGGCTAACATACTCTCTTATCTTCGTGCAACTTAATTGATTATTGTTATTGTTATTTTATTTTATAAAGAAATGTAAGTAGGCATCTACAACTATAGTGTTATTTTTCCGCTCAGAAATTGACTCACATGCAATCTTAGATGAACTATAAGTGTCAGATTCATTTGTCCAGCAACCTAATGATTTAGTTATGATTATTGTGGTACTTAAAAGACAAAAAAATAAAGGTGATTTGTTAATGGTCACATCAAATTAAAGACATGTTACATGCAATGAATCAAGTGAGTATTGATCAAATAAAATTGAAGTGATCGAGTAAGATTTCTAAGGCTTAATATATTTTTTTTAAGCCTTTAAATTTTAAATTTTTTTTTTAATTTAAAATTATTATTTTTAAAAAATTATTTTAATCTTTTAGATCATCAATAAATTGAGATAATTATATAATATTAGTTAAATTTAATATAATATAATATTTTTATTAATTGAAATATCAATAATAAATTTTATGTCACAATATTTGATAGATTATTTTACAAATTTTGAATACAAGAATTAAAGATTTTTTTTAAAATTATAAAAAAAAATTAGTTTTAAATTGAAAGGATTAAAAAAAATTGGGAGCACAGGATATGTATGAAGTGAGAGTTAAATATTAGCACATCATTCCAGTAACCAATTGATTATGTTGCAGTGTATACATTATGATGCTTAATGAGGAATATTCAAGTGTGGGTTACCACAGGAAGGAAATAGGGATAAAAAGACAGATGGTCATTTTCGAGGATAGATGCGTCCACTAAAACATGGTGGATAGAGTCACTGCTTACGTATCTTATTTTTGTAGCCATCTTTTCCTCACGAATCCACCACAATTGTTATGTTACAATTTAAATCAAACCTTGACCAATAAAATTAATTTTTATTTTTGAACTATTTATTTTTAGTAATTATATTATGAGTATAATTTATCCATGATTAATCTTCATTCATCGATCACCTGAACTATTGATAATTTATTGTATTTTTTTTTCTCCCTATTGATTTTCTACTTTGTCAGATTTGAATTATTCGGCCATGAACTTCATTGATCAGTGAAGATGCCCAATGTTTGAATTGCTGCTGTAAATTACTAGCGACAAAAGTTGCGGATAAAAAATATTCTGTTGAGGTGTTTTTGTTTATAAGTGCTTCTGTCTCGTCTAAATCACACTCCTCTTCATGTTGATGTATACTATAAGAAGAATGTGATCACAGGGGTTGGTAGAAATGTATTATAATTTATTGAGTTGATCCTCTGTATAGTTTTGATTCAGTCTTATTCTGAAAGCCAAATGTGAGGGTCTATTAAAATATTCATACTAATTAAATTGAATGAAATGAAAACAATTTATTGGTGTGGATCTATTTTCCTGTTCTGTCTATAGGATGTGAAATTTGCTAAAAGTATCATTATTATGAACGCAACTAAATGTTACGTTACATGCATGCTTCCACTCTTTTTCTAATATATATATATATATATATATATATATATGCTTAAATATATTTTTAGTTCTCAAATTTAAGACAAATTTGTTTTGGTTCCTCAAATTTAAAATTGTTGTTTTAGTCTCTGTAATTTTCAAAAATCTTATTTTAGTCCCTTAGATCACTAATAACATATTTGAAAGTAACTAATTAATACAGTTATGCAATATTAACCGAATTTAATGTGATATTTTCACTGATAGAGATACTAATAAGTAAATTCTATACAATAATGTTTGATAAATTTCTTAACAAAATTTGAATATAAAGACTAAAATCAAATAGAACAGATAGAACAACCAAAAAATCGAATAGAACAGATACACACAATAGCAATGTGAAGCAAAAAGGTGTTAACGAAACCCTGATTCATACCTGATGAGCTGCAACAGTGTGTGAATGAGTAACAAAGAGTTCACCCCACTCTGCAGAAGACAAAAAAACGATTCAGTAACAAAGGAGAGGGAGAGGGTTTACAGAGAAAAAAAATGAAAAGTGATGAAGAGTGAATGCGCGCGGTGTGCCTCGCACTCTCTTATTCAATTTCGCGTCCTTTTTTTACGTCGGACCCTACCAGATCTGATGTAAAAAAGTTTGCAAAAATTATAAAAATGTTACCGCGTCTTTTTTACGTCGAATTTTAGTGTGTTCGATGTTAAAGAGGTGACGTAATATACTAATTTTTCACTAGTGAAGAACCAAAAACATATTTACTCTAAATTTGAGGGATCTAAAAATCATATTTATTTATTGTAAACCAAAAATAATATAAATGGTAATGTTTTATTTACTAAAATAATTGATTCATGACAATGGAACTCAATACTAAAAGGATTTATAACACAATCGCACCTACTCAAACAATTGACTCCTTCAATTATTTATTTATTCAAATATTTAACTTAATATTAAAAGAATATTGATTTTTGAAAAAACTAAAATAATACTCATACATTAATTTGCACGAATTACTCTCATTTTTATATATGTTAAAAATACATTTATTTATGCTTATTCTTTTATATAGAGATAATATAATTAATTATTTGAGTTTTTTCAAAAATATAGAAAGAATAGAAATATTAAAGTTGGTATAGTATTATATGGATTTCTTATTTTAATTAAAATATTAATTAAATTTTAAGTTTTTTTAAACCATGAAAAATTTATACTAAAATTTAACTTATCTTAAATTTAAATATTTTATAATTTTAAAATGTAAATTGGTAAACGCATTTATTTATTTTACAATTATATTGTAATAAAAATTAATTACATTTATAATATTTATAATTTAATAAATAATGTTTTGAATATTTCCTATAGAGTAAGAAGAAGTTATTGGAAATAGGAGTAACAAAATATCTCGTGTGTCACCTGCCTCACCCCACCTTGCCTCTCATCCAATCCTGCATAATAAGGTGAGTTAAAAAATTTAATGCACTTTGTTTAATAATTAAAAAGAGTTTAATTTGTTTCAATTATTTAGAAATAAATCATAAAATCTATAAAAATTTAATACATTAAAATGTTTTTGAAAAAAAATAAACAATTATGTAGTAAATCAGTTTTTTCAAAAAATTGTTAAAAAAAATTATAAATTTTAACCTTTAATTAGCTTAATAAAAAAAATAACTTATTTTTTCAAAGAAGACAAGTTTTTCAAAAACTTAATCTTTGTCATTCTATGTAGGATATCAAAATATTTGACTCACATCAAAGTAATATACTTTAGCAATTTGTGGAAAATTTAAACACTTAAAAATTATTATTATTATGTTTATATATAGTATATATGAAACTCATTTAACTTTTATAAGAACTATGATTAAATTGATATATGGTAGTAAGATTATATTAAATAATAAAATTATTATAACACTAAAAAAAAGTCGTATTTAACTATTGTAAATATTGATCTCAATTTTATAAAATTTAGTTGCTAAATATATTTGCGACCGATACAAAGTGGTATCTAAAATCTTAATTCTTAATTTGTTAACAATCAAAATTATGAGTTAGTCATTAAACTAAATTATTTAATGACCAAACATATTGGTTGTTAAGTTAAAATTAATTTGGTGACTATTGAGAAGACTAAATACATATCATTTGGTTACTAAAATTATCAATATTGCAATCGATTTATGTGGTCGTTAAATAGTAAATTGCTATTTTAGTAGCAAATTGAAATTCTCAATAGCTAAATTGATGATAAAATTAATAAAAAAATATAGAATTACTGTGCAGATACTTGTTTAGCAACTGGTATATTATTTGAAAGAAAAAAAATACTACTTGTACAATAATTGATTCTATTTGTATTTATGTTACCATTCAATGAAATTTGTATATAACAAATATAAATATAACTACCAATAACACAATGATCATAATCACATACATTAACTAAATTTTAATAAATGACATTAAATTCTTCAAAATAGAACTATAAAGTTAATCCAAAAACTTAAAGTATCCAAAATCTTCAAAATACAACTAAAGTTAATTGACAATATGAAATTGCTCAAGTTCTTCTAAAAAATCTAAAGAAATCAAAAAGGTGAAAGTACTTCAAGTCTTCAAAATACAAGTAAACTAATGTGTCACCAATGCTACAATAAATCCTAAATTAGGTTGGCAATCCATGGATGGACTGTGGGGTCACCATGATCATGAGTGGAAGGATTAGTGTCATGATCACCATCTTGATTGGATGGAATGGTACCATATGTTATAACTGACAATCCTAAGTGATTAACAATTTGTTGAAGAATTAATGTTCTGAGTCCTAGGTTGATTCCAAAAACTTATCATCCTATTGCCCTAATTTATACACATTATCCTTCTTACTTCATTTATAAATGACATTATCATCAATTGTAGACTGTTTACCAAAAAAATATTGTGTTATCAATCAGATGGGTGTTCTCTGGACAACTAATAAAACATAGTAAAATAAAATATATTTATAAATATATTTTGAATTATATATGAAATATTGATATTATATATTAAAAAATTGACTTTGAGGTTTTTTGAAAATTGATTTAGCAATTAAATATTTAGTTGCAAAGTATTATATTTTATTTATTCATTTAACGATTGATATTTTTTATTGCTAAAATAATATTTGTTTAGCAAACATATTGAATCAAAAGCGTTTCATAGTAATTTATATATAAAAAATAACAATTAGTGACTCGTGAGTATTTTATTGATTAACTACTAATATATCGATAGCTAAATCTATTGCTACAACATATTAGATTTTATTTTCTCACATAACATAATCGATAGCTAATTAATCAGATGACATTCCATCAGTAAAACATATATTTTCTTAGTGTAATTTAATATAATAAATTAATTAACATTAAAATATTCTTAAATTTCAAATCATTCAGAATAGAAAAATAAGTATCTATTAATA